TACTTTCCGAGTTTGAATTTGTATCAGCCCAAGTGTCTGACGATGGCTGGGATAGGCCGAAATGATCATAACACTTTAGTGATACCAATTCGAGCACGGGAAGTTTTAACGAATTTGTCTCCTAGGCCATATAGTTGGCCATTTAATACATACAGCGATAGCGGCTTTCGCTAAAAGATTTAATTCTTTACACATTTCGCATAGCATAAAGGATACAGAAAACGATTATTCATATCGTTTCGTTCCACGGCCTTCAAAATAGAGGGCGCCTTTATAAGCTAACTACACGGTAGTGAAGATTGGGAGACATTCGTTTTACTTTCCGAGTTTGAATTTGTATCAGCCCAAGTGTCCGACGATGGCTGGGATAGGCCGAAATGATCATAAACACTTTAGTGATACCAATTCGAGCACGGGAAGTTTAACGAATTTGTCTCCTAGGCCAATATAGTTGGCCATTTAATACATACAGCGATAGCGGCTTTCGCTAAAAGATTTAATTCTTTTCACATTTCGCATAGCATAAAGGATACAGAAAACGATTATTCATATCGTTTCGTTCACGGCCTTCAAAATAGAGGGCGCCTTTATAAGCTAACTACACGGTAGTGAAGATTGGGAGACATTCGTTTTACTTTCCGAGTTTGAATTTGTATCAGCCCAAGTGTCTGTACGATGGCTGGGATAGGCCGAAATGATCATAACACTTTAGTGATACCAATTCGAGCACGGAAGTTTAACGAATTTGTCTCCTAGGCCATATAGTTGGCCATTTAATACATACAGCGATAGCGGCTTTCGCTAAAAGATTTAATTCTTTACACATTTCGCATAGCATAAAGGATACAGAAAACGATTATTCATATCGTTTCGTTCACCGGCCTTCAAAATAGAGGGCGCCTTTATAAGCTAACTACACGGTAGTGAAGATTGGGAGACATTCGTTTTACTTTCCGAGTTTGAATTTGTATCAGCCCAAGTGTCATGACGATGGCTGGATAGGCCGAAATGATCATAACACTTTAGTGATACCAATTCGAGCACGGGAAGTTTAACGAATTTGTCTCCTAGGCCATATAGTTGGCCATTTAATACATACAGCGATAGCGGCTTTCGCTAAAAGATTTAATTCTTTACAAAATAATGTTTGTTAATTTACATATTAGGGTTACTTACTTTTTGTTACATTTGCTTCCCCACTCAACATTGAAATACTTCTCGGATATACATTAGAAGAAGAATCTAAAATCGATCATCAATCAGTTATTTGTTCTCTAATATCAAATATTTATTGGACTCACCATACAAATGTAAGCTAGGAATTGCATTTTTATACAATTTATGACTCCATGAAGAAACAAACTTATCTTCAAAGTGTCTGTGACAGATTCGTTTTGTTTTATAAACTGTACTAGCATTCGTCATATCTAAATTAGGATTATTTATAACACTAAGCCACTTCCTAAATCGTGTAACGTCTTATCAGGATTTGGAAAGGTATGTCTAATTAATGACGAATTAGTACATTGTAGGATACAACATTTATTGTGAAAAACCATATTTAACTAATTATTATTAATCTGCAAAATACTATTTGAACACCGCCAGGAACATTTAAAACATAGATCACTGAGGTAGGTGATTTGTAATTTACAGACTAACAAAATCAAAATTCAAAATATAGACGCTAATATGACAATTGGCGATTGACAATTACAATTCTTAGTTGTGTCCTAAACCTAAATTGCAGAGTAAAAGTAGAGACAGAGTAAAGCGACATCTGAAGATTAGTATCGGTACTACAAATGACATTAAGTTTTGTTTGACCTTGAGCTACCTACGTGAAAACGTCTAGTTTATTAGTGGTCTGTGTATGTCATCTTTCTGATTTTCATGAAAGTGTAGAAAATACATAGCATCTCAAGACTCGTGTTCTTATATCAATGTTCAGGTGCATATTACATAAAATCTTCCAAAACATGAACAATCTTTATTAAAGAAAGTGGCCTGAACTTGAGACATTGCTTTTGGATGACACTGATGATGGTGACATATGTATTGAGAGCGAGGAAAGCGAGACTAAAGATTTGGAGAAAACTGAAGATCATGTGGAAGATGAATTTGATGCACGTAATTCAGAAATTTTGGCCGAAGAAGCGGCCAAACGCTATACACAACAGACCTTTACACAATTTATTCAAAGAATGGTCACAAATGGTATCTAAAACCTTTTCATTCTAAGAATACAAGAACATCTCTACACAATTTAATTACTCATTTTCCTGGACCAAAAGCATCAGCTCGAAATATAAGACAAATTGTGGCAGTTAATTTTTTACAGACGGTCTATTAGAAATTGTTGTGACGTACACAAATGGTGAAATAGGCATTAAAAAAGCTCGCTTTCGTTCTGAACAACGTTATCTTCAACCAACAAACCTCGTTGAAATTCGCGCTTTATTAGGATTGCTTTATCTCACTGGTGTCTTGAAATCTTCAAATCTTACGACTAACGATTTATGGTCTGAGCAGTTTGGTCTCCCTGTTTTTAGAGCTACGATGTGCAAAAATCGTTTTGAATTTTTAATATCATACCTTAGGTTTGATGATAAAACCACAAGATTAACAAGAAAGGCAACAGACAAATTTTCTGCTGTTAGAGAAGTATTGGACATCTTCGAGGGCCGGTTGTAGACAGATGTACACCCGTCCGAATATGTCACCATTGATGAAAGTTTGTTAGGTTTTAGAGGTAGATGTCCATTTAAAATGTACATTTTAATAAACTTGACAAATATGGGCTCAAAATAGTAACAATGTGTGATGCCAAGACATATTACATGTGTTCAGCCAAGCTTTACGTGGGAAAAGAAGTCCGTTGTTCACAATATTCAATTCCAACACAATATGTACTGCATCTTACAAGTGATATATATGGAACCAATAGGAATTGCACCATGGATAACTGGTTCACTTCGTATCAAGTATCGGAAGTGTTAAGAGAAAAAGGCTTACTGTAGTGGAACGCTTAGAAAAACAAGCCAGAAATACCACGACAACTAATTGAAACAAAAGGAAAACAAGTTTCATCATCTCTATTTGCTTTTGATGAGAAAAAATTTTAGTGTCATACGTTCAAAAAAATAAAACTTATTCTTTTATCGTCTATGCATACTCAAGATGATGAAGATGAAGAATCGAAAAAGCCAGAGATAATCTTGTTCTACAATAGTACAAAAGTGGTGTAGATACGTTTGATCAACTCTGCCATTTAACAACAGTCGCCAGAAAAACTTGCAGATGGCCATTGCGAATTTTCTATGGCATGTTGGATATTGCAGGAGTCAACAGTTACGTCATACATAAACTAAATGTTAATAAACCACTGTCTCGATCAAACTTTCTAAAGGAGCTGTCGTTCATTTTGGTTAAAGATTGTTTAAAGAACGAATGTATAATAATCACTTGCCAAGACAAATCCGCAGCAATATCAAAGACATTTTAAATTGTAAAGATGAAGAAATAATAGAACAAAAGCCCCAAGGTTCAATGGGTCGCTGTGACTTTTTCCCAAGAAGCAAAAACCGAAAAGCGCGCGATAAATGTGAGCACTGATACCGAAAATGGTCTGCGCCGAACACCGCCTGTGCATTTGCAGTGACTGCAAGTGAATTACTTTGTGCAAGTTTTTTATGTGTCATTACATATAAAAAAATTTGTTCAGTTGTTGCATTTTGTCAAAAAAACTATCCTCAATATTGTTTTATACTTTTATCCAGTACCACAGTTTTATTTTAATTTGTTATTTATGAAAAAACATTTTTGTATAACATTTATAAATATATATGTTTGTAACCAAAAATAAAAACACGTATAATTACTTTTGTTGTGCTTTACGGCCAGTTCTTTTGGAGTCATATACGACGCCATGTTGTGAGTATCGTAACCGTACTTGCACATTGTTGTTCTAGGGTTAATAATAAATATATTTTGGGTACTAGCGTCATATAAACTTATATACTAATTAATATATGCAGACCTAAATGCATAAGTTGTCTTCTTCCGATAAGGAGGCATCATCATCATCAGTTTCTTCATTTTCCACAGAAATAATAAATTGGTTCTATTGTTTCCTCTATTAGCATATCGAGTTTCCAGAATGTTTCTTCCTCTGCTATGACACGCTACTTTTTGCCAATTGACGATCAATCAAATAATAGTTGACGATCATCTTGGAGTTTAAGTGTTGTATGATTTCTCGCGATATATCCCTTCAATTGAGCCCAGATTAGTTCTATGGGGTTAAGTTCACAGTGTTAAGTTGGTTATCGCAACTACATGTTCTTTTGCTATTCCATGTACACTATACTTCTTAAATTTTGGTGAATATTGTTTGCATAGCTGCAATAACTCTTTTTTTGAGTAAACCTTCTGCTGGCATATTTCTTTAGTTATTAGCCAATCCAAGAGTTCTTGCTTGCAAATTTTGTTAAGCCTTTGCCGCCATTTGCATTAAGGAGGTTTATATAATAAACGGTTTATTTGTTTATTTAATAATTTGTTTGTTTATTTGTCTTCGTTTGTTTCTTTTACAAAAAATTAAATATATTATTTTTTCTACTTTGTTAATTTCTTGTTCAATAGAATATAAGTAAGTACTATAGTCCGTACTAAAAATACGATAATATTAAACAAAGGGGAGCAATTTTCTGACTGCGATCACTTGGCAAAGCTAACTTCTTTCTCCAACGCAAATGTCGTACTTGGCATCGCTTTCTGTACCTTAGATAGGAGTTGTTTATCTATTGGTTTAATATCTCTGGCTATATTTGACAAACTGTAACTAATTGTCGATGACAACATTTGTTGTTTATATGGAAAGGTACATATGTCAGTTGTGTCATTATAGACCTTAAATTATAAATTTTAAACTCAATAATTTTATTTATCGCTTAATCTCCTTTCGTTAAATTATATTAGTAATATTTCTTTTATTACAGAATAACTTCTCGGAATAGCGCTGGTGACGGAGACTACGCTATGGAAGATGAAAACTTAGATAGCGACGCTGATTTGGATATCGGTGATAGTGATGGCGAAGAAGACAGTGATGCTGACGAGGATCTTGCAATGGAAGTCGAAGACAACAGACCAAAAGCCGACGAAATGGGAGTCGAACATTTAGCCACACTCGAACGACTAAGACAAAATCAACGTCAAGATTATTTAAGGGTAAGAAAAATATATATTTTTTTGTTATTTACGAAACACATTTATATATCGCAGAAACACACTTGGTTTGGAGTATCTTGTTGAAACAGATATTACATTTTCCCTTTAATTAATTGTCTGTTATATGTACCTAGAAGCTTTTTATTTAGGCAGATTTAAGTTGTTTTAACTAATAAAAGCAGAAATATTAATCCTAAGACTTTATCTAAAAGATAAGGTCATTGTGGAAGACTAAAGTAAAGTGCGAGTTTAAAGTAATTTTCACGTGATTAGAGCATTTGATTTCATTTTATTCGGATCTACTCTGTATGAGTACAACAAACCAATTCGCTAAGGGTTTCTGCTTAGTTGAGGAGACATGTCGTGGAATGCAAATTTTAGATTCCCCATGTCTCTTTTAACATCTTTATCAACGTCTGTTTACCTTGCAATTTTTAGAAGATTCAGATTAAAGCAGAAATCTGAATTAGTTTCGAAAACTATTTTACGGATTTATTATCAGATGACGCTATTGCGTCCATATCGAAGCCATTTTAATGTTGCTTCTGTCTTCTGTAAAGACAGAAAAGATTTATTTTTTACGTTGAGAACGCCTATGAATAGCTGTTCTGATGATGCCTATTAGGCCGAAATACGTATAAACAGATACATAGACGCTTTGTACGTGAAATCTAATCTTTACTGTCTTTTTCATTTGCAATTAACAGTTTAGTTTTTCACAAAATAGATTTTAATACATATATATGCTATTTAATTATGTATTGAGCTCTTACATTTGAGCTTATAGACTATCGCCTTTCTTTTCGCTTCTTTTGCCTACCATAACCTTATAGGATTACCGTAAAACGGGTTACTTTGCACTGAGTAGAATAACTTTGCACCAAACGTGTAAAAGTATATTTTCTGTAACCTACACTCAATTTTGTTTATATATTTGTACTACCTCTAGAGCACATAGTCAACATCGCAATACGTGAGTAAAACGCGCGCGATTGTCTCTGCGGTCTTCAGTTATGCAGTTATCTATCAGCAACGGTTAGAATATTAACCTCGAAAATCTATTATTGTCTAACTTTGCAAAATCATACTGTACAGACAGTCCCAGCGGACACAAATTGGTATGTACACGTCTAATAGCATATACCACAATCGATTACGATTTTTAGTTGTTAAAATAACGGTTTTAAACCAGGATATCAATAACAAAAAAAAAACATTGTTTACATGTGCATTTAACACGTGAAATGGGTATACTTTGCACCGCCAATTTGCAAGTGGTGCAAAGCATCGCCAAGAGTAAAAGGTTATTAGAAAATGCCCAGACGTTATAAAAGGAAATTGTGATCCCGCAAATATGCAGACTACTCAGAAAAAGATTTGAAAGCTTGTCTGTCAACAATAAAAAATGGCATGAGTACAAGAGTTGCCGCTGAATCCCTTAACATTCCAAGGAGAACTATTTTTTACAAATTAAAAGGAGTGCACGCTGGAAAAACGGGATACCCATCAATATTCTCTTACGAAGAGGAAAGGTGCTTCGTACAATGCATTCATAGCCTTAGTGATGCTGGATTTCCTGTTATGGAATGGAATTACGACAAATAATCAAGACTCATTTAAATTGCAAAGGAAAAAAATATCTTGCTTTAAGGATAATACTTCTGGTATGGATTGGGTCAAATCATTTTCAAGTCGTCATAAGGACCTTACTTCAAGGATAGCCTCAAACATAAAAAGAGGTAGAGCAGCACTCAATGCAGACCAAATGGCTGAATACATACAAAATTTAAAACAAACATTAACTGGTGTGGAGTCCACATGCTATTTTTAATTATGACGAGACGAACTTAACAGATGATCCCGGACAAAAAAAGGTATTAACTAAACGTGAAGTTAAATATCCTGAACGAATTGGTAATTCTTCAAAAACTAACATTTCTCTTATGATGTGTGGAAATGCAGCTGGTGAGCTACTACCTCCTTATGTGTTGTACAAATCCAAGCATTTGTGGGACACCTGGACTGAAAATGGCCCCTCTGGTACGCGTTATGCAAATACTGCATCTGGTTGGTTCGAATCACAGACATTTGCAAATTGGTTTAACACTAGTGTGATAACTGATAGTCATACAACAAATAATAATTAATCAAGTTCGTCAGATATCGAAAACACTTTCATTCGATATTTAGAAGATAAAAGGAAGGAAGCCACCCAGTTTAAGACACGTGGGAAGAAAAAGAAAATAAATCTTCCAACAGGAACAGTATTGCCCATTCTGAAATTAGTTTAGAAGATCTAACTGAAGCGTCTACTTCCACACTTCATCAAGTTGTTGAGCCAGAAGTCGTAGATGATTCAGAAAACGATATTGCTTTCCACGGCCACTTCCACTAGGCAGGGATTCATCAGATGATGAAATAAACAAGCTGCAAGAGATGGAAGAAAGCGAATTTAATGAAAAACTGCTCAGTTCAACAATATTGCCGAAAAGTTAAAAACTCTGCATTAGATCATGTTAAAAAAAATATTGGTGAGTAGGTTTTATTTGTCTATGAAGATCATGTTTACCCTGGAGTCAACAGCAATAGAAAATGACGAAGCGATGATCAACGCCATGTCAAAATCGTTAAAGTTTTGAAAATGGCCAGAAAGACGCGACAAAATAAGGTATTCGTGGGACTAAATCCTCCCAAGAAAATTTCCAGACGAGGATTTTACATTATTCCAGAATGCGCCAAATTGTGGTGGGATTAGATTCAAACTTTGTATTTTCACTATTGTACTTATAATAAAGTTTGTTCATTTAAAATGTAGCAATGTTCTTTCCCGTTAGACTTCTTTCATAAATGTAGGTATGTTTATATTAAAAAAACTGGGCCGACCAACATTTTTTTGTATTAAATGTGCAAAGTTTAAAATCAGATAGGATTACTATGCACCAGCAAGCATTTCGTAGCCAAATATTATTAAAATATCAAGTGGTGCAAAGTATGACTCTTCTAGGGTATACTTTGCACCACTAATAAAATTAGGATAATCTCTTAATTATGCAATATAACTAAAAAAACAGCTATAATAAGAGCTATATTACGACCTGCTGAATAGATATTTATAATAAAAAGTTCAGATCTTCTTTCGAGTAACGTTATATCCACTCTAAGAAAATGAAACTAAAAACTATGGTGCAAAGTAACCCCGTTTTACGGTACTCTAATTCTCACTTTTTGATTTGCTTTTGTTACAGGCATCGAATTATGTTTCCGTTTCTAATTGTATTATCAAATGTAGAAATAAATATATTATTATGAGTTTATTATTAAAAAAATTAAAATAGGAGAATGCATCAGAAGAGCCATAAGGATATCTATAAAGAAGATGTAAGGATGGAGTAATGAAAATGTAAAAAAGTGAAAGATTAGCAGTAAAAGTTTATTATTGCGAGTTAGAAATCTCGTGTTTTATTTATTATTACTGCAAATGTTATAAAACAACAGCAAAGTTATTTTACCTACTTTTCGCAACTTAATTGTTACTTTTAGGTAAAAATAGTCACTGGGTGTTACGTAACATTTAGCTAGGGGGAGGAGGTCTTGTAAAACGTTACGGTGCGGGGGTACACGTAAACTCATCACTGATTAGCATAAATACCTTCGTACTTAGTACAAACTCATCACCTCTATATAAAAGTAAGGATTTTGAAATATATCCTGAGAGATTGGTAAACTCATCACTGGCCTACCTGCACCGCGTGGCAGGTATAGACCATAAACCCCTTGCAAACCGTTAAGATTTGGTAATTTGACAGAATAAATCTAAAATAGATGTATTATTTGGGAACGTTGGGAATGGTATTTCTTTGGGAATTCCATAAAATTCTAATGATAACTACCTAAAACTATGCGAAAAGAAAAATTTATCTTCATTTGCCGTTGTTCCTTTACAACATGGATAGTGACCTGCGCATTGATTACACTTTGAGAAATGCGGACGAAAAATAATAGATATCAATAATTTCAAATTTCAATTGCGAAATTCGACTCCGACGAATATCAGGGAAAAGTCTGTTGGATAGGGAGAGAAGCGAAAACGTAAGAAAAAGAGAATGCAATATAAAAGACATAAATTGATGGGTGACAAAACGGAAACAAGAGTGGAACGAACACATCAGTAGAATAGCAGAGATACGATACTTCGAATAGCACGAGATAAGTCGCCAAATGGACGAAGAAGTATTGGCAGACAGAAGAAACAGGTTTTAAAGCCTACACACAAGAAGGAAGAAGAAAAAGAAGAATTGCGAAAGATTACCTCTAAAATCGAATTACCTTTTGTGGATTGTGCGACGAAAGTGTGTAAGGCTAAATGTCATACAACTGGTGAGTAGATTTTATACCGTTTTTAGTTGTCGCACAGGTGGTGGATCATTCTGATCAAACAGAAAAAAATCAGCTTAAGTTCTTTAAGTTAACTGTACAAGATGTTTATTGTAGATAAGATTTAGACTTTAGGTAGATATTCTAAAACATTGAATATCTCAAAAAGTATGCCAGGTGTTACGTTGACTTTTCACCTATGGATATGATGCAAAAGATTTTTGGTATTTTTTTAATTATAACAGTTGTTGGTTAAATTTTCTGGATTTTAATTGCAATAAAAATAAGAAAATTAATATTTACAAAACTGTTGGATACAAACCAAAGTGTGTATATAAAATATGTATGTTACTTATGCATTATACATTTGAGAAAAGTACGGTAATAATAATAAGTGCGAATCGGTGTAATATTGAAGATGGTGTCTGCGTAGTGGTCATTTCACTAAGGAATGCAAATCTTCCGGTGTCGTAAATGTGGAAAAATACACCACACACTTTTACACTTTCAAAGTAACTTACAAAAGCTTACTGAAACCAGTAATCAAACCATCAGCAGTTTACCTTGCTCTAGTCCAAGTACATCAGAAGGGTCTAATGCACTGACAGCACGTAACATTTCGTTTG